GGTGATGATAAACCAACCTGGATGGGTGGTTGCTGGATGAAGGGGAGAGATTTAAGGGCAAAGAAAGAGGGCTAAAGAAGGGCTAAAAAAAAAGCCTTTGGGGACTTAGCAATAAGAGGATGTCCTTGGACAAAAGTTTTATTCAAGTGGTGGTAGCTGGAAGCTGGATTGAAAAGAAATGAAGAGTCTGACAGCTTTTTTCTTTTTTTCAAGTTTGGCTGTGAAGGAGATTGAAAAGATACAGAGCAACAGAAGAGATAAAAGGATAGGTGTAAGTGGTTTGTTGGTTTGTTTTTAAAGGATAAGGGAGAAGTAGGCATGTTTGTAGGCAACAGGGAAGGACTTAGTGAATAAGGAAATATTAAAAATTAGGAAGAGAAGATGATAAAAAAAAAGGTAAGCTCTTGCAAATGGGACATTTCTGAAAGGACCAACGGCAGAAGTAGATGTTTAGCACTGTTGTGAAGGTCACTTTGAAATATTTCTTTGAAACAGATGCAAAGGAGATAAAATTAAGCCAGAATTAAGTGCCGACTATGTGCAAGGCTCTGAGATCCTAGAGATGTAAAATAACAGTTTAATATCTGATAGTGGCAGAGAAAGTGGGAGGATAAGACATATACGCAAATAAGAACTATACAAGATAATCAAGATGCAAGAACAAATCATAAATCTAACCAAGTTTTAGTACACAGGTAATTTTTGTCACCCACTAATATCTTAAGGCAGTAATGACGGTGTATGCAGTAAAGAGCTAGTAAAGTTATATAAAGCAGATTTTATTATGTTTCAAGGCTGGCTTGGTTTTTTCTTAGCATGGACTTGTTATTTTATCTCCTTATGTGGAAATTCCCTCGACTGATGCAGGAAAAGCGAGCAGATTTTTTTAAAAATAAATTTATATCTGAGACTTTATTAAAAACCTAAAGTTAGACAATATAACAATGGTCAGGTTGAGGCAAAATGTTGTAGTGGCTGGGGAGCAAAAGTAGAGAAGACCTGGCTTCCGGTCCCCTCTGACACAGGATCCCTGTGACCCTGAGCAAATAAATCACTTTATTTCTCAGTGCACTAGGTAACTCTCTCAGTTGCAGAGATGATGATGATAAACATTTGTAGAGGAAGTTTTCTTACCTCAATTATCCCTATAAGAATGAGACTACAGGTTCAGCCACCATTCTCAATCCTTATCCTCATCTTTATCCCAAAAGAGTTATAGATGGGTTTCAATTCAACAAACATTTCTTAAGTACCTACCATATATATGTATTAGGTACTGTAATAGGTTTTAGACAAAACAGTTTCTTTCTTCAAGGAATTTATATTCAAAAGGAGGGATACAGCATGTTCACAAGTAAGTAAATACAAAATATATGAGAAGTTACACTCAGTAATTTCAAGATGTAGAGTGCTAACAAGTGGAACAATGAGGAAAAGTCTAGGTTTAAAAAGGTGGCACTTGAGCTATATCTGAAGGAGGTAGAGGTGAGGAAAGAGTACATTCTAAATATGGGAGAGTGTGGCACAGAAACAAAAGATGTAGTTTATGGTTCCCCACTTAGCAGGCCAATATTATTGAACCAGAGATTGAGTGAAGTGGAAAAATATGAAACAAGAGTAGAAAGAGAACTAAGAGCCATAATTATATAGGGATTTCTGCACTGGGTAATAAGTTGGCTGAAGTGATAAGAAGGTTCCTTTCTAAATCTCTTTGTAACATAGTGATCCAAAGCTGTCATTCTTCAGTTTCTTAATTATAAAAATACATTCCCTAATGTAAAATATCCTACAGTTTGAGATCTAGGACCACTGCCACTGCGAAAAAGAAAATTCGTGAGGCAATGTTAAAAAAAAAAAAACACACTATCACAGTATGGAAAAGTAGAGATAATAAAGACATTCACAAACCAAGAGCACATATTGGATATTAATAGTTTTCAAAAAATTCTCATGGTACTGATTCTGGCATGCAAACACATAATCTAAAAAATGCATTTAGCCATAGTTTCATAGATTTTACATGTGAAGCTCTACCTAGAGGTCATTTGCTTCTTGATTATACAGATGAGGAAACTGAGGCCCAGGAAGTTAATTGTCCAAAGTTAAACAGGTAGTAAAGTAGCAGCATCATTATTCTAACCCAACATATAAAAATAATTTTTTGAATTGATGTATCTAACCAACATACATTAAGAAATACACAGCTGTACCACAGAAAACACAATTCTAATAATTTCAAATTTCATTAATTCAAGAAATACTTATTGGGCATCTATCTACTAAATTCATAGCAATGTTTGTGTACTACTAACAACCTGTGCTACAAAATTCAACAAATGAAGAACGCTGAATTTTGTTCAACAAAACTGAACAAAATAAAGGTTAAAGATTTAAATATCTTCAAGTGATCAGTAAATGACTGGTATTGAGGGACAAAATATCTGAAAGATGCAAACAAATATAACTTGTTCAGCATGAGGTAAAAACATAAAAAGGAGTAATAAAGTTTTATTTTGAGTACCATTTGAGAAATTATAAATGGCATCTGTAGTGTCAGGGATAATTTACTTTATACAACTAAAATGCCTTCACTACAATAGAGAATATATGAATATTTCTGAATATATGAAGTGATTTATTTTCTTGTATATTTTCTCTTTCGAGGAGTATGAGCACCATAAATGCTAATAAAAAATTTACTATTTCAACTGAAAAAAGCCATTTAAAATTTTCTTTAAGCTTTTTAAAAAGCACCTAATTTTGGTGATAAAACAATGAATATAGATGGATTAAAAAAAGAAGCACTCTCAGGCCTCAAGAAACTTACATTCTACTGGGAAGATACAACAAGGACACAGATACTCAAATACACCTTAATTTTCAAGTGGGATAGAGCAGTGACAACTGGAAAAGATCAGAAAGGTTTTCCACAGTAAATGGCACCTGAACTGAGCCTTGAAAAGTTAGGGTTTCTAAGAGCTGAGGGGGTAGTAGATCAAAAATAAACCAACAAGCAAGCATTTAAGCTCAAGACAAAAGTTTTAAAAAAAATAGTTTCTGCCCTTAAGAAGTTTCCATTGGGGTAAATTATCTCACACAAAACAGACAACAAAAGGGAAATTTTACAGTGGAGGGGAAGTGGGGGAAGGTGAGAGGGAATGAATGAATCTTAGTCTCATCAGATTTGGCTTAAGGAGAGAATACCATACACACTCAATTGGAAAGCTATGTTACCCTACAGGAAAATAGGGGGGAAGTGGATAAGAGAGCAGGGGGATGATAGAAGCAAAGATTTCTGAGAAGGGACAGGGTCAAAAGAGAATAGAATGGGAGGCAGGATAGGATGAAGGGAAATATACTTAGTTTTTCACAACATGACTACTATGCAAGTGTTTTGCATGACTACTCATGAACAACCTGTACTGAGTTGCTTGCCTTCTCAACGAGGGTAGGTGGGGAAGGAGGAAGGGAGAAAATTTGGAACCAAAGTTTTAAAAACAAATGTTAAAAATTGTTTTCACATGCAACTGGGAAATAAGATATACAGGAAATGGGGTACAGAAATCTATGCTGCCCTATAGGAAAATAGATGGGGAAGAAGAGAAGGAAAGGAAGATTAGGGGAAGGGGCATTCAGAATGCAGCTGTCTTGGGGTAGAGGAAGGGATGAGATGGGGGAGAAAATTTGGAACTCAAAATCTTGTGGAAGTGAATGCTAACTAAAAAAAATAAATTAATAAAATCTGGGGGGAAAAAAGAAGCTTCTATTCTAATGAATGTGAAATGTCATTCTGTACAAAGGCACAACAAAGGGAAATGGGATGTCAATTTAGAACTGTGAGTAGGGACAGCTTGGCTAGAATACAGTATGTGAAGGGAGCAATATGAAACAGAGTGGGTGTAAGTAGGTGAATCAGATTGTGGAGTTCAAATTCTGAACTAGAGAGTTTGCATCTTATTGTGTAAGCAATAAAGAGATTTTGCAATTTTTCTAAATAGAGGACACAGAATCAAAACTGTTTTTAAAATATTCATTTGAAATCTGTATGAAGGATGGATAGGAGAGAGTACAGACAAAGAAGAACAAAAGCAGGAGGTTCAAGCCAGAGGTGACGAGCATCTGAAGGGACAATATAGAGAGAAGACACATGCAAGAAGAGATGCTACATAAGCAGAATCACAAGATGAGGAAACTGACAAGGAAAAGCAAAGAGTCAAAGCTGACTGAAATTTTTTATCTGGTTGACTAGAAGAATGGTAGTATCCTTAAATGTATGTATGTGTATAAAAATGTATATGCTTGAAAAGGTGGATTAGAAAAGGGAAGACTAAGCATTATTTTGGACATACTGATCTTGACAATCTGATAAAAATTCAGATGAAGATGTCCGGCAGCCACTTGATAACCTGAGACTGGAGTTCTTTAGAGAGATTAGAACCAGATATATATAGATTTGGAAGTTTATCTGGGTAGAGATAATAACTGAACCCCTAAGAGCTGAGATCAGAGAAAAAAAAGAAAGGGGACCAGGAGAGATCCTTGAAAGTCCCTCCTGCTTAAGAAGTAGGAGATGACCCAGAAAAAGAAAATCAGAAAGACCAGTCAAACATGTGAAAAGAGAAGCAGGAGAACAGAAGGCAAAGGAGGAGGAGAGAAGACACAAAAAGAATCAGGAGTTGATGTGTCAGAAAAAACTGCCAAAAAACCAAGTAGCATGAGAACTGAGGAAAAGTCATAGGATTTAGTAGAAAAGATACTGGTCAGATGAATTACCTTACAGATGAATTAAATGAAGTCCTAAAAGGTCAAACAATTTGCTCATGGTCACTCAGCTAATTAGAGGCAGAGACGAGACCAGAAACCAAATACTACTTTCCTCCAGGCAAGGGCTCTATTACACTGTATAGACCCACAAAGAATGTGAGTGTGGAATTGTTATATACATTAATTCGCATAATCACATAGGAGTGAGACATGTTTTTCTATTAAGAACCACTGACCTACAAGCAAGGGAGGGAGACAGCAAAGTATAAAGCATAATGAAGGAAACTTCTGATAGAAGGATGGTCTTAAATCCAACTTTCATGGTCTTGTGAATAAATCATTTCATGCTTCAGAATTTGAGCTGAAGGGAAAAAATATATATGCACTTAGAAAGATCTACCAAATAACAGAAAACTTCTTTTTCTTATATTATCCACTACTGTTACCTCAGAATGGTGTGAAGGAGACCATGAGATCCTGAAGGCTGTGGAGCCTCTACACAGAAATTCTTCCCATAGAGTCTCAGCAAATCCTCTCAATTGAAAAGAAGCCCAGCTAAGCTGGGTTAAAATTATCATAGAAGGTTGGCGACCAAGTGATAAAATTTTCAGCAATGGCAACTCATGAAACCTGGAGAGGTTGAGATCAGCACCAGAACAAGGAAGATCCACAATAATGAAAGCACAAATTAGTCAATTGTTCATTACAGACTTTATGTTACAGTCAAATGGATGTACGATTTAATCTATCTATATATTCCCTGAATCCATGCAGATCAGTCCATGCCTGCACAAGAGCAGTACCCTCTTGCGTGATTCTCATCCATGCCTTCCTATAAAGGTGTTATGGGCGGAGGGGAGTTCTTAAGGCGTTCATTGCCTGGCGTCATCACAATGTCTGGGCATCTACTTTTTCAATCATATATTTTATTTTTATTATTGCATTAAAAAGTATTCTATTTATGTAGTCAATTTCGTAGAAATGAAACATATCCGGAATGTTTTAAGTGAAATTACACAGAATTACAACAATCTCACCTTAAGTTTCAACTTTTATCCTCAAAATATTCACTGCTAGTATTAAAATTAATTGATCCACAATTTACTTTTCCTTATACTCAAGTACAATCTTTAATTTTCCCCAAATCCCAATATACAACTCTTGACTAGAAAACCAAATCATTCTTCCCTTAATCCAGGTCTCAGTTTTGACTCAATCACTGACTAGTATATGAGTAAAGACTATAAAAGCTGTTGTCTTGTTTTGAGTTCTTTATTTTAGGAACTTTTCATAAATGGCTTCCAACATTAGATCAAAATTTCTTGCTGTTAACTTGCCCATCTCCTGGTAACTCACTACTTCCATTCCGTACCTTGATTGATCTCCTTCATCTCACCATGTATCTTCTCACCTGGGGGTTCAATCTTCATTACTCCACTGAACATGCTAGTCTTCCACTCATCAACCTCTTTAACTCCCATGACCTTGTCCTCTACCTCAGCAACTTCTCCAAGTGGTCACACCCTAAACCTCACCACCTCCATGATTTTGAACTCTGAAATTCCATCCTCTTATAATCTATTGTCCAACCAACTGTCCTTCAATCTTTTCCTCTCCTTCATACCTCCTAAATCTATTTGCCCTCACTATATTCTCCAATCCTTCCTGCTCCCTTTGTCCAACAACATTCAGGCTCTGACCTCACTTTCTTCCATTTATACACTCGATAACATGATCAGCCAGTTTAACCATGCCCTGTCCTCTATTCTTGAATCCCTTTGCCAATCACTAAGGTTGCCATTGCTTTTTCACTATTACTGCAGAACACTGAAGGAAGTAACATAGCCATATTAAATGGGTACACCATAAATTCAAGTTATATAATTTCAACTGGCTTCTCACTGCTACATAGCAGATAGACTCTCTTGTACCTCACAGAAGCTGTTCCAAACCTCCTCCTCCAGTCCCCAAATACCTGTTTCTTAGATTGCTTGCTTGCCACTCCACTGACAAAACTGAGGATGTCATGGGAACCCTCATCTTCCCTAACCCACACTTCAAAAATCCAATAAGATGTTCACTTGTCCTCACTGTATATGGTCTAATCTCTGAGGATTAGACCACTACTTTCCCATGTTATTCTATTTGTGCCCCATACCTCATACTTTCCTGGGGAATGTTCTACACCAATCATTCCTTTTTCATCTTTCATCTGCCCCTATCTACCAAAGAAGATTGTCCACAAACATGCTCAGGATATCTCACAAGCTTAAAAAAATCCTTTCCTTGGCCGTGTCATTCCTACAAGCTATGGCTTTACATTTCTCCTCACTTTCATTGCCAAGCTCTTATAGAAAGTTTGTCTATAGTAGCTGCCTTGATTTCCTCAATACTCACTTCTTAACCATCTTTTAATTAGACTTTCAAACTCACTACTCTAGTAAAAATGCTTCCTTCAAGGCTACCAATCATCTTTAACTCATATATCAAATGGCCTTTTTTGGGCCTCATCCTCCCTGACCTGCCATCCACTTCTTCCTCCTCCACAGTCTTCCCTGGTTATTAGTTGACATTGTATTCTCCTGGTTCTGGTCTCTTGACAACCCCTACTCATGCTGGATCATTATTTAGTCATAGTATTAAGATGAATATTTTGAAATTTACTAAAAAATTTTAGTGAATTATCTGAATCAACTAGGTAGCATCAATGGATAGCAATCAATATGGAGTCAGGAAGATCTGAATTGGAATCTTGCTTTAGATACTTACCAAAGAGCTCTGCAATGCTGGGCAAGTCACTTAATCTTAATCAGCCCCAGTTTCTTCATCTGTAAAATGAGGGTATTGAATGGCCTCTAAGATCCCTTCCAGTTCAAAATCCATCATCCTATGATGGGCATTTTTTTTTTGAGAACATTAAGATGTAATGGAAAGAGAACTGGATTCAGCTCCAGGTTCTGCCATTTACTAGCCCTGTGACAATGGTCAAATTTTTTAATATCTGTGCCTCAGTTCTTCAACTGTAAATTGGAATTAGTAATATCTATACTAACTACCTCTCATGATTGTTTCACTGCCCAGACTAGATATGTAAAATTCAAAGTCATTATAAATATTCTATATAAACACAGTGCTATAAAAATTTGATGGAGTACTGACTAACACTGAATCGTGTTAAAATACTGTTCATTAAAAATTAAAAAAGCATTTATATTAGAAAACATTCCAGATGTCTTCTTTTTAAGCTGGGTAAAGAGTCTTTCTCTGTTGAGATTTTTCTCTAAATTCTAAATTATCTTCTCCAAGAAAACTGGAGAAAAATCACTCTGTCCACTGATATCACCTAACTGATTCAAATTATTCTCTAAAATTTTTTGATAAATCTCAAAGTTTCCATTTTAATACCATCACTGTAACTGTTCAGATTCTGGAATGCAAAATCGCTTACTGTTCAACGAATAAATTTATTTACAACTAACTTAATGTCTTGTGATTTCCTTTATTGCTACTGTACAGAACACTTTTCTAATTTAACTCTCGCAAAAACGTCGATGTTTAACCTAGTAAGGCAAAACAAAACTAGCATTAGAGTGATCCAATGCAATGTTAATAGTTAAAAGCAATAAATTAAAAAACACCAGAATGGAAGCCTACCTTAGATGAGGCTCTTCAAGTTATCACATAGGCTGAATAAGTGCCCTCAAATAAGGAAATTAAGTATAAAATGCCCCCCAAAAGGTAAAATTGTCAGAAAGATTCATAAGCTTGTTACATTGGAATACCTCTTATAAAATGGAGTATATTGCAGCTATGACAACTTAGCTCAAATATACATTCACTCCCATTACACATATATAAATACACATGAAATCTCTGAACAATACAATTTATTTTCACCAAGCTATATATAAACACTAACAAGTTAAATGAACGGCCTATACCGCCTGGGTTGTCGTTGTTGTTGTTGTTGTTGTTGTTGTTGTTGTCTTAAGGTGGGGGAGCTATAGTTCTGATATGAAATGTCCGTAAAAGGCTAGGCTAACCTATTTTAGAAAGACTGACACAAACCTCTTATCCTGCAGTTGAGGGTAGATATTCCCACTGCAGCAGCACTGCCACTGACTTTGACAAAATCTCTAAGGACAATAACAGAAATATTACATTTATGTATGTAACGATAATCAACAATACACAAACATTTTATGCGTTTACATTCCTGACATTGTGTAGCTTACATATTCCCTTGGATTTCAGAAATAGGCAACCCCTAGCCAGGCAGAAAGCTAATTTAACGTCTTCTAAATCCCTCCCCCCAAATACGGTTACCTTCATAAATCCATTGTCAAATTATACTCCCACGCCTCAATCCTCCGTCCACATCGAAGTCTTAGGGGAGACCCGAAAAGGTAAGCTAAATCCCCTCCCCCACTACTCCTTACTCTGGGGTGTGGGTGTGTCTGTAGACAGCTCTAGTTTCCCACAAAGTCCAAAGCAATCTTGCCCAAAGACTCAGACCCCAGCTCCTTCCCGGCCCTGAGATAACCCGCCAGTCGCCGACGACCCCAGCCATCCCGGGCCGCAACCCTTCCTCTTTCTCCCCTCCCTGACGGCCCCTCCCCCGCCGCGCGCACGCGCGTCCTGCGGTCCCTCCCTCTCTTTCCTCCCCCTTCGCCCTTCCCCCCCGCCCCCCCTCACCTTAGGCACTGGCCACCCCCTTCCCCCGGTTCCGGGGAATCACCGGCCCATGAGGGAGGACAGGGGATGTAAAGGGGGCGTTGGCAGCTAAGAATCCGCGCTGCTCCCCTTGACCCCACAGGCCCCGACGGTCTCGAGCAGCGTCTGTCACTGGCACTTCCCCGAGACGAGCCGGGAAGAGGCGTTGTACAGGGCCAGCCCAGCAAGCCCAGCCTGGCCCGGCGCAGAGCCCGGAGCTCAGTCCCACCGCCGCCTGCGATCGTTTCTGTCTTGGACTGCGCAGTCCGCGAACCGCGCCGCCGCCGCCGCCTCAGCCAATCCCTCCCCCACCACAGCCAGCGCGACACTTAGGCAACTTTTCGACAATCCGGAAAGCGAGGACGCAAAAGACTTTCCCTCCTCCCACCCTCTCCGCAGCGATGCATTTCCTTCTGCGCTTGCGCGAGCTCTTACTCATCATACCCTTCCGCCCCGCCTCCCTCCTCCCCCTCGAATCTTTTGGCAGTGTATCAGTTCCAAAGCTCATAGATTTCATTTTCTTCGGTAATACTGATTATTTCTTCACCTTGTTAATTTTCTAACTAAAAACAACAGCTAGAGAAAGTGTATTGTATAATGTCAATGCCAAATTAGTAAAACAGGACACATGAATTATACTAAAATATTATTAAAATGTTCGTTGCATAAATTAATAATAAAAAATCTATTTGATGATACAAGCTAATTTACACAAGGGCTGTTAATGGTGTGGTGCAGAGACAACTAGTAATTTTTGAAACTGAGGCAAGCACCACAAGGCAGAAAAGGCTCACAGCTGAGAGGCGAACCCCCATGCAAGGAGACAGATCCCGAACTGTGAGGGTGCTACTGAGGGGACTGATCATCTTCACCCTCCCGAAGAATGAACAATTTGGTTGCTTCCTATTTAAACTATTTTTGATAATACAGTCCACTGTATTATATCAAAATGGCTGCCCTGCTGCTCCTCAAACAGGACATTTTATCTCCCATAACAAGACCTTTGTACAGGCTGTCCCCCATGCTAGTGTCAGTCTTTCTAAAACAGATTAGCCCAGCCTTTTACGGACAGAACTATAGCTCCCCCTCCCCCCCCGCAGATGACAACCACAACCCATGAAATATAAGCTGTTCATTTAACTTATTAGTGTTTATAGCTTACTGCTAATAAGTTGTATTGTTCTAAGATTTTATGTGTATATATATGGAATGTAAGTAAATGTATATTTGAAGTCTTTCCTCCCTTCAGTTTAGAATTCCTAGTATCCTTTCCTCAACTCTAATATCACCACCTGCATAAGGCCTTTCAGCTGCTAGTGTCTCCCCTGCCCCAATCTGGTTTTACTTAAACCAAATTGTGTGTGTACATGTGTGTGTACACGTCTCTAAGCATGCTGTAAGCTCTTTTTGAGCTGGGACTTCTTTTTTTTGCTTTGTCTTTGTGACTCCATTGCCTAGCACAGTACTGGGTACTTACGTAGAAACTTAATATCCCATTGCTAATGCTTTCCCTCTGTCCCTCTGTAAGGACAAACAACAACCACCTTCAGTTTACACTGTATTTACCTTGTAGGTATAATTTTTTGCATGCTGCCTCTCAAATTAGAACATAAGGACATTTGTGTCCTTACCACTTAGCACAGTGGCTGGTACATAGTAAATACATAATAAATGCCTAACTGATTGAGATTGATTCATTGATTGATTTTAAGCTCACTTGTTTCTTCACACTGAACAGCCCAGAAGCCTGATGACTTAAAAATAAGTGGTGAACCTTACAGCAAATAGTGTTGTTTGGGGGGGAATGGGACAGAAACAGGCTATAAAGCCTTTCCAATGCCACCCTCCCCCCCAAAAACCCTTCAAACAATAATGTTAGAAATAGAAGAGACCTTGGTAATCATCTAGTTCACCTCATGGATTTTACAAAACAAGAAATTAAGACCTTAGAAAAAGAAGTGACTTCTCTAAGGTCAACTTATTTTCACTGATACTGAAGAACAATTTATATAATAACATCAATATTATAAAAATTAATAATTTTAATAAACTAGGAATGAAATTAGTAGAACCAGGAGAATAATTTATACAATACTGGAAATACAAACTATTTTGAAAGCTGCAAGAATTATAATCTATATCATGATTTCAGAGGATCAATGATGAAACATGCTATCCATTATAGACAGATGGATTTACAGATAGGACACAGAATGAGACACACATATAGATATATTAGTAGATATATAGGTACAGCCATTGGAAAAATTTGTTTTGACTATGCATATTTGTTACCAAAAAATCTTCCCCCTATTTTATTCCAATGGAGTAGAGGTAGGAGAGAGAGAAAATAGATTGCTGTTAATTCTTTTTTAAATATTGGGGGTGGGGGGCAGCCAGGTGGCACAGTAGATAGAGCTCCAGCCTTGGAGTCAGGAGGACCTGAGTTCAAATGTGACCTCAGACACCTGATTACTTACTAGCTGTGTGACCCTGGGCAAGTCACTTAACCCCGATTGCCTCACCAAAAAAAGACAAAAAATAAATAAATAAATACAGAGGTGGAAGGTAGTACAGGTATGAAATGTATGAACATTCTGTCCAGGTCACAGGTTACTTAATTATTTTGCTTTCCTATGGAAAGATCTCCCATGAAGAAGGAGTCTGTAAATGTTTGCAACGTAAAAATAATACATATCAATAAAAGTAAAAGTATTAAACAAACAAATAAAACTGATTGGCTTGTCCAAAAAAGATACTGTCCTCTATTGAGGAGCAAGCCAGGATGAGCCACTAGTCCAGTGAAGGAACTATGCGCAAAAAAGAGCCAGTCTAACTGAAGTTGATAGACTTATACCAAATATTCTTTTTTTTTGTAGGCAATTGGGTTTAAGTGACTTGCCCAGAGTCACACAGCTAGTGAATGTTATGTGTCTGAGGCCACACTTGAACTCAGGTCCTCCTGACTTTAGGGCTGGTGCTCCATCCACTGCCACCTAGCTGCCTCCCCTATACCAAATATTCTTAAAGGATATTGAAGCCCTGTCTTTCCAGGGATATGAGTGGACTTGGCCCATAAGTGTTCCTTACACATGTCCCTCACTTTCACTGTATTTTAATTCATGCTCACTCTCCCCAACCCTCAAACCCCTGGACTCTTATGTATATTTATGGGAAAAGACACCCCTGGTTGTGGGGGAAAATGCCTTGTAATTACTGCTCTTTCTATGCAATTTAAGTAAATGCTTCAAAAAGAAAAAGAAAATGAGGCTAAGCTAAGACAGTTAAATGGAGCCTAAACCTTGATAAGTCACATACTATTAAAGCAAGGGAACCTTTTACAAAGAAGAAAACTGAAGTCCAGAATTATTCAGAAAAGTGATTAGTCTTAAAAAAAAAAAGGAATTAAGACAGTTTTCATCACTCCCAGGTTAGCACTGTTTCAGCTAGATTATTGGAATTTGGTCTCTCTAAGGGTATGGAAGCACCTCTCTTCCTTCCAGGGCTTTGGCCCTTGGTTTCATGATTCAGGATAGCCAGCTAAGGAGTGAAGGAGCTCCTCAATCCTTCCATAGCTTATCATGAATGTTTAAATGTTTAAAACAGCTTGGAAAGGCCAAGCTTCAAGTAAGGGAAAAATCCTAGGGACGTGGGGAAGCACATACTATTAATAGTATAGTACCCCTTCTGAGATATCCAACCTATCTGATCATTCAGTCTACTTTGCTGATTCATCATCTATATCATGTCCCCGAACTGTAGGTACTCCTCCACAGTTCAATCCTAGTACTCTTCTCCAACTCCACTCTCTAAGTAACATTGTCAGCTCTCAAAAGTTTCATCATCTTTACACAGACTCATAGATACACACACACACACACACACACACACACACATATATACATACATACACATATACGTACATACATAAGTATTTACATACATTTACGTGCATAATGAAATGGAGGATTTCAAAGAATTCCTGATGAAAAGGGTAGAACCCTGTAGATATTATGAAAGGAAACACAGGAGTCAAAAGACAGAAAATTACATACAGCTGGGAGGGGCAATATTGGGATGAACTGTTTACATGCAAATAAGAGGATAAGCAACAAAGGCCTTCACAGAAGCCAAATATTTTCAAGGATAATAAAGAAAGGTAAATAAAACAGAGAGGGACTAGAGGTAGTTTTGTTTGGTTTTGATGTTCTTAGAAGACAGAAATGGGAGAGATAGGAAACTAATGGAGAGGAAACTGGGTTTAAGAAAGGAGCTAGTAGGGGCAGCTAGGTGGCTCAGTGGATAGAGCACCGGCCCTGGATTCAGGAGGACCTGAGTTCAAATCTTGACCTCAGACACATAACACTTACTAGCTGTGTGACCCTGGGCAAGTCACTTAACCCCATGCCTAACCAAAAAAAAAAAAAAAAGAAGGGAGCTAGTACATGTAAGGGAATAGTCACAAGCAAAAGAAATTCCAATGTTTAAGCAAGGATTTTTAAAAGATAAGAAGACACAGTAAAAACCTGGGATCAGGGGCAGGGCAAGGGGAAGAGAAGAAGGACAACTGTGCAAAAATAGACCACTTTATTTATAGATTACAAGTTTTAGGCAAACTCCCTCTCTCTTATCATTTCATCTTATTTGTAAATAAGAGGGTGGAAACAAGGAGAGGAAAAGTACAAGCAGATAAGATTGAGGGAAATATATAGTATTAATAATTGTGAACTCCAAGGGAATTAACTCATATGTAAAACATAAGAGTATATTAGTATGGATGAAAAAGCTGCATCCAACAATGTTATTTATAAGAAACACACTTGAAACACAAATATTCACATGGAGTTAAAATAAAGGACCAGAGCAAAATCTATTATGTTCTGGATGAATTTAAAAAAACAACAACAATAAAGGGTAGCAATGATTATTTCAAATATAGAAAAGAGAAAATATATTCAGCTTAAAGGAATCATAGAGAATCTATCAATATTTAATATATAGGAATCAAATAGCATACATTTACCTACTTAAATGAAAAGTTAATTGAATTTCAAAGAGAAATAGAGAGTAAAACCATATAGTGGAAGTCCTCAAAATACCCCCTTCACATCTAGATAAATCCACACAAAAGATAAGTAAGAAAGAAGATAAGGCCCTGAATAGAACTTTAGAAAAATTTAAAATGTTAGATATATATCTCTGGCAATTATTGAATGGGAATAAAAAATAATTTACCTATTTTCTCAGATATCCATGGAACATATTTACAAAAACAAATAATGTTTTGGGGCATAAAGACGTCACCAAAAATGCAATAAAAATATTACACACATTATTTACAGATCACAATCTATAAAGATTATAAAAGGCCTTTGAAAAAAGCATTTAAAAGTAATTAGAGACTAAAAAACTTCATTCTAAAGAACTGAGACAAAGGAAAAATTGTGAAAACTAGGAAAAATCTTATCAGAGGAAATGACAATAATGAGAGACAACATACCAAAACTTATAGGAGTCAACTAAAGCAGTCCTTAGAGAAAATTCATATCTATAGAAAAAAACAAATCAATGAACTGAGCACACAACAACATAAAAAACCTAGCACAATAACAAATCGAAAATCCCCAACTAAATAACAAAGATGAAATTCTGAAAACAAAAGAAGAGGTTAATAAAATTAAAAGCCAAAAAAAAAATTGAATCAACAAATAAAACTAGGAACTAGTTTTTTGGGAAAAAAACTCCAATTAAAATTTTTTTTCTCAATTACAT